GCGTCCAGTTTCTGCCGTGTCTGGGGGTGCGGGAGGTGCAGATGCGGAGGGTGTGGATACTGGGGCTGCCGGAGCCCGTGGTGCTGGCTCTGGGGGTGCAGGGGGTGTGAGAGTGGAGACCACTCCTGAGGAGGACGCGGGTGTCTCGACTCCGCGGTCTCGCCCCTCCTCACCTCCTGGCTTCCCGTCTGTTCCGCAATTCCCTCCTTGTTTGCCTCCGCGGCCGGTCGCTGCGGAGCGCGGGGATGTTCTTGCTGGAGGCACTGGAGTTCTTTGGGGTGTTGTCGGTGGAGGTTCTGGTTCTAGGGGTGTTGGATCCAGAGACACGAGCACAGCGACGCCTACCCCGCACACTGTACGTTTCCTGACCCATGTGCAGCAACTAGACAGGTTGGCAAGGGAGGAGCGGGAGCGGTTTGAGAGGGCACGGCAGTAGCAACAGTAGGAGCAGTCTCAGTAGAAGCGTCGGGAGAGAGTAGAGGAGGATCCACGGCCGCAGCACCAGGTGCAGTTGCAGCCACACCAGGAGAGAGTAGAGGAGGAGTTCCGGTAGCAGCGGGAGGTGCAGTTGCGACCGTAGTAGGTGAGAGTAGAGGAGGAGTCCCGACCGCAGCAAGAGGTGCAGTTGCGACCGCAGCAAGAGAGAGTAGAGGATGAATCCCGGCCATAGCAGCAAGTGCAGTTGCGACCGCAGCAGGAGAGGGTAGAGGAGGAGCCACACCAGGAGCAAGAGGAGCGGTAGCAGGGGCAGGTGCCGCCGCAGCAGCCGCCGGAGGAGGTGGAGCAGCAGCGACTGAGAGACCTGGCCGACCTGGCACCTGCACGCCTGGTCTGTGGTCCTCTACCATCCCCTCCTGTTTCCCCTGTCGAGTCCCTTGCCTCGTCCCCGTGGATTCGTCGTTCTCCCCTCAGTCATGCTGTCTCTCTAGAGCCTCGTTGGTCTCATTACTGTGCTGACGGCCCATTTCACCTTGTACTCCGCTTTCGTGTTCCACCTCCTCCAGTCCTTCCACAGCCTCTTGAGTCATCCCTTACTGTGTTTCCTGACCCACTGTCCGACTACCTCCGTGCCTCACGTCATGTCGTCTCCCGTGTTTTGTCGTCGTTGGTCACTAACCTGTCCCCCCCCCCCGTTGTCTGTCTCAGCATTTGTTACCACCGTCGCTGACTTTGTCTCTTCCCACCGACTTGGTGAGTGGCATTGCTTGCTCTCCGTCCACTATTGGTGTTCTTGTTTTTCCTCTGGAAGTCCAAGAGGATAGGTAATTCGAGCGTGGTTTCTTGGCGGCTGTTGTTCCTCATCTTTGCACCATGCTGCTTGCCCTTGAGTGGGATCCAGAAGCCCTTGACATCCTGATCCTTCGCAGTCACGCAGAGGCAGTCTCGGGACCCTGGGATTCGTACGTGATAGCAGCAGAGGAGGCTGAAATGGCATCTTATAGGTCCACAGGCACCTCCGACGACGCCATCCCACCACCTGGGGCGAACGTCGTCAGTGGCATGTAGCTCTACAAGGTGAAGCGGCCGCCTGGATCACCACCGGTGTTCAAGGCGCACGTGGCGAGAGGCTTCAATCAGCGCGAGGGGGTAGACTTCTTCCATACCTTCGCTCCCACTCTTCGGGTGATGCTGCATATCGCAGCTCAGCGCGACTACGAGTTGCACTCCTTGGACTTCTCCACAGCGTTCCTACTGGGGAGCCTACATGAGCAGATCTGGCTGTGTCGTCCGCCTGGCTTCACTGGCTCTTTCCCTCCGGAGACCCAGTGATAGCTGCGTCGATCCGTCTATGGCCTGCATCAGGCTCCTCGTGAGTCGCACGACACTTGCAGCCCTTTACTTCTTTCCATCATCTGCTGACCCGTCACTATTCGTCCGCCGCGGCTCGACCACGTTCTTTGTTTTGGTCTACGTTGACGACCTGGTCTTCGCTACTCCCGACCGACACGCACTCACCTACATGAAGGAGGAACTGCAAAGTGTCAACGGGAGTAATGTTTGGCCCTGTCCTCGCTTGGGCGGAGCCGACCGCGGGACCGAGGAGAACCGCGGGACCGCGGGAAGACCACGGGGCCGCGGGAGAACCGCGGGACCGCAAGTTTGCGGGAGAACCACGTGGCCGCGGGAGAACCGCGGGGCCACGGGAGCACTGCGGGGCCGCTGGAGAACCGCGGGACCGCGGGAGAACCTCGGGGCCGCGGGAGCACCGCGGGGCCGCGGGAGCACCGCGGGGCCGCGGGAGAACCGCGGGGCCGCGAGAGAACCGCGGGGCCGCGGGAGAACCGCGGGACCGCGGGAAGACCGCGGGGCCGCGGGAGAACCGCGGGACCGCGGGAAGACCGCGGGGCCGCGGGAGAACCGCGGGACCGCGGGAAGACCGCGGGTCCGCGGGAGAACCACGGGACCGCGGGAAGACCGCGGGGTCGCGGGAGGACCACGGGAGGGCCGCAGGACCGCGGGAGAACCACGGGGCCGCGGGAGGACCGCGGGGACCGCGGGACTGCGGGAGGGCCGCGGAACCGCGGGAGGACCGCGGGTACCACGGGGCCGTGGGAGGACCGCGGGAGGGCCGCGGGAGACCATGGGACCGCGGGGACCGCGGTGGCCGCGGGTGGACGACCGGGGGCCACAAGATACCCGGGCGACGTCTCCAAAGGTCACCGGGAAGTGGTTTCTGCGAGGACGACCTGGGGGGTGGTATCCTGAGGTCGACGTGGCTGGTGGGCGCCGTCACGGGTGGAGTGTCTGCGCTGGTGATGTGACGGGGATTTGGGCGCCAACCAGCTGCACGCACCTGCGAAGCAGGTGCACCGGTGTCCCGCGGATGCAACGCTGTGCAGCCGACTTACTGCAGCGTTGGCACACCGCGGACTGGCAACGTTGGCAAGCCGCGACTCTGCTCTGCTGGAGCGCGGTCGACCAAGTAGTGCTGGTACGCTGTCGACCGTGCTGCGCTGGCAGTCGACCAGCAGCCTTGCTAGGTCTGATGTAGTTTATGTTGCTAATGTTGATTCAACCATTCTGAACTTTTGTTGTCATGTTTTCATAGTGGAACTCTTGCTAATTTTCCTCGTGAACAAGCAAGCAGTGTTAGCACTTGGAAACGACAAGGAACGAACGAACTCTACAATCACTCTTGCCCCGTGCCTAGCCCGTAGGCTAGCTCCCGTTGCACTAGTTATCTCCGCATGGTGCGGTGAGCGTGGACGACACCGCGAAGTCACCTTAGAGTTAGTCGACTTTCAATTCACCTAGCTTGTTCGTAGGCTGGTGGCTGTGTTGGACGCCATGGTGAACCCCATAGTTGAGGCGGGCGTCGTAGACACCTTGGAAGCACGGCTGGAGGACGCGAGGAGACGTCATGCGGCGAACGAGTACAAAACTCTCCCGCTGACGGTGGTCGAGGATGGCATCCGCGCCTTGTGGGCGGCAGAGCACCCCCCTTCTCGGCCTGCATCTCCTCGACCAGTGAACAACGCAGGCGGCGCCGACGCGGAAATCAACACCGCGGGTGACCAAGTCGGTAGCAAGGCGGGAGGCACGTCGAGGCAGCGAGGTGTGATTCACGCGGATGAAGTCGGCGGCGTTCAGGCGCGAGGAATGCAGTCGCCCGCAGCTGCAGGGGCCTCGCGGGGCTACGTTGGAGGTAGACGAAATGAATTGGCGCCGATGTCGGCGACACACGTGACCGTGGGAGGAATCGCGCCGAGCTACGGCTACTTCAAGTTCGCGCCGGACAGGATCTCGGTCACCCCTCTGCTGGTCAGTTGTCCCGACATCCTCACGTGAAAGGAAGCCATCAAGCCCCAGCTGGAGATGGCCGAGCTGATGGGCTTCGCCTGCGGGAGCGTGGCGACGCCAGAGGAGCACTACCCCGACCTGCGAGCGGAATTTTGCGCCGTGCGGTTGCCGACCTTAACGGTCATCTTGCGGTGCTGCTCGCCGGGCGTATAGATCGCCCTGAAGTCGTGCAGGGAGTACCTCGATGCCGGCCACCGGGTGTGGCATTTCATCGAGTCAACTTACCAGGTCACCGACGACTTGTTCATCGCCCAGCTTGAGGGGCAGTTGACGCACCTGCGTATGGGCGACGAGGAGACCGGGACTGACTACTACAACCGAGCTCGGCGATTTTCGCCACCATACGGATAGCTGGCGTGCAATACTTGACGGCTTCGTACGTCACGCACGTCATGCAACGACTCCCGAGCAGCTACAACCTGCTGAAGCGGCTGTCGATGGCGCCGAGCACGCGGGCGACGCTCAACGAGGACACATTCACCTCGTACATCCTGCAGGACAAGCCGATGCAGGAGGCTGAGCGGTCCCAGGAGTTCCTCGCACAAGTGAATTACGTCGCCCCCGCGAAGCAAGGTGGTCGACCGAGACAGCGCAGGCAGTCTGGTTGCAGTCACCGCGGTGGCGGGAAGCCGGCGAAGGACGCCGACAAGCAGAATTCCGTTAAGGATGGTGGTCGTGGAGGAGGAGGTTGACGTCGGGAATGCTGGCTGTGCGCCGACCCCGATCACCTCTCCTTCGAGTTCCCCGACCGCAGTGACTCGGAGGACGACGACACCAAGGGAGGCCGCGGGAGGTCTGGCAGCCGCCATCCGCGTCGAGGAAATCAGCCGCGAAAGGAGAAGCAGTCGATGAAGTCGACCTCGGCGAAGGACGCCGACTCTTCCGCGGGTGGCAAAGGGCGAGGCGAGAAGGAGGAGTCGTGCTCGCTGGTTGGTATCGTAGAGCCGACCGTCTCGCTGGCGCCGGAAGCTGGCGAGGATTTCGAGGCAGTGGCGGCAGCTGTGCAAGCGAACCCCGCGGTGGTCCTGCTCGACAGCGGCTGCTTGCACCACCTGATGGGGACGAAGGAGGCCTTTGTCGACTGGTGGCATCTCGCTCTGCGACAGGCCATCTGGGTTCGCATTTGCCTGGAGCGGTCGTCTCTGCCCGCGGGGACGACGCCATACCAGCTCCTCACAGGGCAGACGCCTGACTTGTTGATGGTGCGGGTGTGGGGCTACATGGCGCAATTCCTCGTCCCTGAGCAGCAGCGCGGTGGGAAGCTACAGCCGAAGGCCTGGTGGGGCCTTCACCTCGGCGTGTCGGAGGAGAGCAAAGGCTGGGAGCTCCTCGACATCACCGCCAACCGGGTGGTCACCACGTCGGATGTGGTGTTCTATGAAACTCTGTCGCTGGAGGTGTGGAAGTCGGAACTCGGGCCAGCGTCGGGGCGGACGCGGGCCACCCCATCGACGGACACCTCGACAGCGACGCTTCCTCTGCTCTCCGAGGTCAGTGAGCAGGTTGATGAGGATCCTGCGGTCGCCCCTGCCTCGCCATTCCCTGCCCCTTCTTCCCGTCCCCTTCCCGTCGAACTGGGTGGCCTGACTTCGGTGTCGGCCTCCGGCGATGAGGGGAGCCGTGGGGCGTCGCCTGTGGCGCCGGCCAAGAGCATCGCCGGTGGCCGACATGACGCCTAGCCAGCCGCGCAGAAGCGGGCCGCGGAGGAGACTCCGGACGAGACCGCAGAGGAGATCGCGGAGGAGACCGCAGAGGAGATCGCGGAGGAGCCCGCGGCTAGCAGGCAGCTGACAGGGGAACAGGAAGCAGCTAAGCCGACCGCGGAGCAGTTGGCAGGGGAGCTGCTTTTGAACGGGAAGCGCGTTTCAGAGAAGCTGTCAAACGGGATGCCCGTTTCAGAGAAGCCGTCGACAGGGGAGCCGTCGAACGCGGAGCTCGCTTTAGAGGAGCGGGCGACAAAGGAGCAGTTCGATGATGGCACATCAAGCGACGTGATGGAGGTGCAGCCCAGACCTCGGAAGTCGGGCCGAATTCGGAGGCCACCCGACTTCTTCGTCTCCGTTGCCTTCACCACGGTGTATGATGTGGACGACGATGACCTGGCGTACGATGACGCCGAGGACGATGAGGAGTTTTCGGAGCTCGACCCCGACATGCACGCCGATCCCGAGCACCGTTGGGACATTGCGACGATGACGGCGCTGGCGAGTTGGAAGGGTCCGGCGGTGAAGGCCGCCATGGAGGAGGAGATTCGCAGCCTCATCAACATGGGCACTTGGGAGCTGGTCGAACGCCCGCTGGGGGTGAACATAATGAAGAACCGGTGGGTGCTGACAACGAAGTACCGCATCGACGACACCGTCTAGCGCGAAAAGGCAAGGCTGGTCGTGAAACGCTTCACGCAGGTGTATGGCGCTGACTACGACGAGAGGTACGCGCCGGTGAGCAGCTACGTCACGTTGAGGATTTTCCTCAGCATCGTTGCCGTCCTCGACTTCAACCTGATGCAGCTGGACATGAAGAACGCCTTTTTGCAGAGCAAGCTCGACCGCGTGCTATACATGTACCAGGCGGACTACTTCAACGACGGGACCAGCCGAATGTGCAAGCTGCTGAAGAGCCTCTACAGGCTGAAGCAATCGCCGCTGCTGTGGTACAAGGCGCTTAATGACGTATTGGTCGGCGCTGGGTGGAAGAAAAGCCAAGTCGACGAGGCTCTGTAGTTCAAGGTCGGCGACGACAAGTTGACCTACTAGGTGTTGGTCTACGTCGACGACCTCCTCGCCGCGAGCAGCAGCACCGCGATGCTGAAGGAGCTGAAGGAGCTGCTGGAAGTTGCCTTCGAGCTACGCGAGATTTCGCCGGTGCAACAGTACCTCGGCCTAGAGATCGTGCGCGACAGGCCAGCGCGGAAGCTGTGGCTGCACCAGCAGGGCTACGCCGACAAGCTGCGCAGGCGCTTCATTGACGAGGAGCAGACCGGGCGCACTCTGAAAACGCCGGTCTCCGTCGACGCCTACGCGGAGCTAATTCAACGACGAGGAGGCGCAGGAGCGCGAGGAGGAGGAGTACCGGTAGAGGGTCGGCTCGCTGCAGTTCGCGGCGACGACGACGAGGCCGGACATTGAATTTGCGTGCAGCAAGCTGGGGAGCGGCCTCACGGCGAGGAGCGACCAGCACTGGCGCGAGGTCGACCGCTGCCTCGCTTACCTCGACGACACGCGCGACACCGCCCTGGAGTTTGGTGGTGGTCCGGAGTCACTGGAGTTGGTCGGCTACGTGGACGCCGACAACGCCGGCGACAAGCAGAACCGGATGAGCACGGGCGGCTACGTGTTCGTCTACGGAGGGGCCGCGGTCTCCTGGTCGAGTCAGCGCATCAAGTGCGCGATGCTGTCGTTGACCGAGTCGGAGTACGTGGCGGCCGTCAAAGCCGGCAAGGAGGGACGCCGCCTTCGCTTCCTCCTTGCAGAGTTCTGGCAACTGGATGCAGGGAAGCCGACAGTCCTCCGGATGGACAACAAGTCGGCCATCACAGTCGCCGAGGGCATGGGGTTGACGGGCAACCTCAAGCACATGCAGCGGCGACAGGCCTGGCTGCAGCACATGGTGAAGTGCGGGAAGTTCTCGCTGCAGTACATCCCGACCACTAAGCAGCCAGCTGACAGCCTGACGAAGGCGCTGCACTATCCAGCCTTCAACCGGTGCTCCGTCGCAATCGGCCATGTGCGGCTGGCCGACGTGGGCGACGGCGACAACGACGTGCAGCAGTAGGTGCCATGCCCTCTTGCATGGCTGGTGTGGTGACAGGCGTGCTGTGTGTTGTGTGCACGCCGACGGGCTATTCTCCGAACAGTACTGCCGTGTGGGCTGGGGGGCCCAAGTGTGAACGCGGCAGGGGAGTGTCAACGGGAGTAGTGTTTGGCCCCGTCCTCGCTTGGGCGGAGCCGACCGCGGGACCGCGGGAGAACCGCGGGTTGCGGGAAGACCGCGGGGCCGCGGGAGAACCGTGGGACCGCGGGAAGACCGCGGGTTTGCGGGAGAAGCGCGGGGCCGCGGGAGAACCGCGGGGCTGCGGGAGCATCGTGGGTCCGCCGGAGAACCGCGGGACCGCGGGAGAACCTCGGGGCTCAGGAGCACCGCGGGGCCGCGGGAGAACCGCAGGGCCGCGGGAGAACCGCGGGGCCGCGGGAGAACCGCGGGACCGCGGGAAGACCGCGGGGCCGCGGAGAACCGTGGGACCGCGGGAAGACCGTGGGCCTGTGGTAGAACCATGGGACCGCGGAAAGACCGCGGGGTCGCGGGAGGACCACGGGAGGGCCGCGGGACCGCGGGACCGCAGGAGAACCACGGGGCCGCGGGAGGACAGTGGGGACCGCGGGAGGACCGCGGGGACCGCGGGAGGGCCGCGGCTACCACGGGGCCGTGGGAGGACCACAGGAGGGCCGCGGGAGACCATGGAACCGCGGGGACCGCGGTGGCCGCAGGTGGACGACCGGGGGCCACAGGATACCCAGTCGACCAGGATACCCGCGCGACGTCTGCGAAGGTCACCGGGAAGTGGTTTCTGCGAGGACGACGTGGGGGGTGGTATCCCGAGGTTGACGTGGCTGGTGGGCGCTGTCACAGGTGGCGTGTCTGCGCTGGGCATGTGACGGGGAGTTGGGCACCAACCAGCTGCACGCACCTGCGAAGCAGGTGCACCGGTGTCCCGCGGATGCAACGCTGCGCAGCCGACTTACTGCAGCGTTGGCACACCGCGGACTAGCAACGTTGGCAAGTCGCGACTCTGCTCTGTTGGAGCGCGGTCGACCAAGTCGTGCTGGCACGCGGTCGACCGTGCTGCGCTGGCAGACGACCAGCAGCCTTGCTAGGTCTGATGTAGTTTGTGTTGCCAATGTTGATTCAACCATTCTGAACTTTTGTTGTCATGTTTTCCTAGTGGAACTCTTGCCAATTTTACCCGTGAACTAGCAAGCAGTTTTAGCACTTGGAAACGACTAAGGAACGAATGAACGCTACGATCACTCTTGCCCCGTGCCTAGCCCGTAGGCTAGCTCCCGTTGCACTAGTTATCTCCGCACAGAGGAGACACACTTGCACTGACCTTGGTGAGCTGTAGCACTACCTTGGCCTGCAGATTACCAGGGACAGGGCGCTCGCACCATTACGCTGACCTAGTCGCATGTGGTCGAGCAGATCCTCACGCGGTTTCGCTTCCCGTTCTCCAAGCTACAGCCCACCCCTCTTGCTGTGGACCATGGGCTCATGGCTCCACCTTTGGACGAGCCATTTGAGTCCAATAGTCCATATCATAAGCTGGTGGGTTGTCTCGTGTACCTGATGACCTGCATTCGCCCATACCTAGCTTACCCTCTTAGCATCCTTGTGCGCTTTGTTGCGCCTGAGAGACACCGACCTTTCCACTGGTACGCTGCTAAGAGGGTGGCTAAGTATGTGGCGAGTACATCAGGCATGGGGCTTGTTCTTGGAGGGAAGCAGCCAATTACACTTACAGGTTTCTTAGACTTGTCGTGGGCCGGCGACGTTGAGTCGCTGCGGTCTACATAGGGTTACTGCTTCAGCCTTGGGACCGGAGCTGTTTCGTGGAGGTCGACTCGGGCATCGTACGTCTCCATTTCCAACTATGAGGCTGAGGTGTACGCTAGAGCCATGGCCGCCCAGGAGCTTTGCTGGTTGTCTTTCCTCCTCACTGACCTTGGTGAGTGGCCTCGCGCTCCCCCAGTCTTGTCTGCCGTCAACAGGTCTGCTATCCTGTGGTGGGAGGAGCCCCGACTGGTTGGGAAGGCGAAGCACATCTAGCTTCGTTACTTCCTTTTGCGAGAGTTGCAGCAGCGTGGCCAGGCACTCGTGCGATGTGTGGTCTCTGAGGCCAACTCCAGATATCTTCACCAAGGCGTTGCAGCCTTGTGACCACTAGCGTTTTTACACCCAGCTTCGCCTCGTGTCTACATGCCCTCATTTGCTTGTGTAGAGATGTTTTGACTTGTACTCTTGCATCTCACTATATATCCTATTTCTGTGCTTGTTGACATGCCTTGTGGCCCCTTGCTTTTGTAGAGATGCTTGTCATGCTTGTCTTGTACTCTTGCATCTCTTATATCTGCTATATACTTGCGTGTGGAATGGCCTTGTGGCCCCCTGCTTGTTCTCGGACTGTGTGGTGATCTTCAGATCCACCCCGAGAGTTGCTTTGTTCTTGTGAACGGTTGCTTGTTCTTGCTGACTGGTCCTGTGACCCTTGCTCTTGGGTTGTGTGATGCTTTCGACAAGACTACCCTCACCTAGACTATGGGGGTGTGTGAAACTATAACTGTTATAGTTTGATAGTTTGGTCTAGGTGTTACACTTAGTTATGCTGTAGAGGGTATAAACCTTTAGGGTTTGCTATATGCTCCCTTGTACTGCTTGTTCCTACTCATTCAGTATTTTGTTCACTCATTGACACCACTCCCTAAGATGCGTCTCAGGTTGACCCACCCCCCTTGCTTGAGCCTATGGAGGTCTCCTCTGACACCTCTGGCCCAGCTGAGGGGGGTGACCCCGCTGCTGACGACACGGCGGCCACTCGCCGCTCCCCGCGCTTGAAGACTTCTCCTGGCTCTCCACCTCGGCCGTCTTTGCCGCCTCCGCAGCCAGTCGGTGTGGACTCTGGTGCTGCTGGGGGTGGTGACATTGGGGGTGCGGACTCCAGAGGTGCTGGTTCTGGGGTTGCTAACTCTGGGGGTGCTGAGTCTGGTGATGCTGGTTCTGGGGGAGTTGCGAGTCCTAGTGGTGGTGGGGTCTTGGGTGCTCCTTCTGGAGGTTTTGGCGTTGGACGGTAGCAAAGGTCTCGTCGTCAGGAGACCCTCTCACGGTAGTAGCTTCGCGACTGGGTTGTTTGGCGAGGCTGCTCTAGTGATGGCGCTTGGAGTACTGGTGCTGGAGGTGCTAGAGCTGCTATTGCTGGAGGTGCTGGAGCTGGAGGTGCTGGTGGTATTGGAGCTACACGTGCTGGAGCTGCTGGTGCTGGAGGTGCTGGAGCTGCTGGTGCTGGAGGTGCTGGAGCTGGAGGTGCTGGAGCTGCTGGTGCTGGAGGTGCTGGAGCTAGAGGTGCTGGAGGTACTGGAGCTGCAGGTACTAGAGCTGCTAGTGCTGGAGATGCTAGAGCTGGAGGTGTTCGAGGTGCTGGAGCTTCTGGTGCTATAGGTGCTGGAGCTGGAGGTGCCGAAGCTGCTGGTGCTGGAGGTGCTGGAGCTGCTGGTGCTGGAGGTACTGGAGCTGCTGGTGCTGGAGGTACTAGAGCTGGAGGTGCTGGAGCTAGAGGCTCTGGAGGTGCTGGAGCTGGAGGCTCTGGTACTGTGGGTAGTGCGCCGCGACGACCGTTTTTCTACCCGCAGCCGCAGTCGTCTCTACCACTGCCTGGCTCGGCACTTTGTCAGGTTCTTAGTCTTCCGTCTTGCACTGGCCTTACTCCGCCTCTCCTGTATCCTCCGCCTGACAAGTCACAGCCGCAGTTACTGCTTGGATCTCTACTGCCCGCTCCTTCTCCTTACCATGAGCACACATGCTCCATGGCAGAGCATCATGAGCCTGAGTCTCGTCCTGCTTGTCAAACTTATATGATCTAGCCTGTGTAGGCTGTAGAGGGTTAGATACTAAGGGGTACACAATTCTAGGGTTTCATATTTTGTATCACTTTCATTCCTTAGTTCATCCATTCTCGTTCTAGTTTTCACATGTTATCAGAGCAGGTTCCCTAGTGGGAACGCTTCCTAGGGCCCACCACTAAAATTCGATTAAAAACAAAAATTCTGCCCGGAGCGCGAGTCACCCCTGCCCGAGGCGCGCCCCGTGGGCCGCCCTCCCGTCGCGTCGCGCCCTCTTAGAGGCTCCTCTTACGGCCCCTCGCGTCCCCTTAGCGGCCCCGTCGCTGCCCTTAGTGGCCCCGTCGCTGCCCTTTGCGGCCCTCTTGCCGCCCTTGCGGCCCCGTCGCCGCCCTCAGCGGCCCCGTAGCCGCCCGCAGCGGCCCCGTCGCCGCGCGCAGCGGCCCCGTCGCCGCCCGCAGCGGCCCCGTCGCCGCCCCTCGCGGCCCCATCGCTGCCCATTGCGGCCCTCTTGCTGCCCTTGCGGCCCCGTCGCCGCCCTCAGCGGCCCCCGTCGACGCCCGCAGCGGACCCGTCGCCGCCCCTTACGGCCCCTCGTGGCCCCTTCGCGGCCCTGACGCCGCCCGTTGCGACAACGTCGCCGCCCGCTGCGGCCCCGTCGCCGCCCTTCGCGGTCGTCCGCGGCCCCTCCCGGCCCCTTCCCGGCCCCAGCAGCAGCAGCGGCCACTTCTGCCGTGCAGCCGCCGCCACTGCCGGCCACCACTGCCGCCGTCGCCACCACCGCTGCCGCCCCGGCCCTGCCACTGCCGCAACAGCCGCCGTCGAGCCGCCGCCGCTGCCGAGCCGCCACCGTCGAGCCGCCTCCATCAAGCCGCCGCCGCCGAGCCGCTGCCGCTGTTGAGCCGCCGCCGTCGAGCCGCCGCCGCCGTTGAGCCCCAGCCACAGCTGGACTCTTCCCTTCTCGCCACTGGTGAGCACTGCCCTGCTGCTACTGCTCTTTCTACTGTTACTGCTGCTCCTGCTGCTACTGCTCTTTCTACTGTTATTGCCGCACCTGGCTTGGCCAGATACAGCTCCAGTGCCGTCCGGGTGAGTCTCTCACGCCCCAACAGCTTCGTGAGTGGTACGCTAGTTGGGGTTGTAGGGGTAGCCGCGCTGTTACTGCTGCTACTGCGGCTACTACTGCTACTGCTACTCCTGGTGGTGACCACCTGCAGCTCCAGCGACGTCCGCGTCAGTCCCTCCCGCCCCAGCAGCTTCGTGAGTGGTACGCTAGGTGGGGTTGTCGGGGAGGCCGTAGTGGGAGTCATCCTGGAGTGAGTAGTTCGAGAGCTTCTTGTCGTGCCCAGGTGCAGCCGCAGCGTCGTCCGCCCAAGACCCTTTCGCCCCAGCAGCTTCGCGAGTGGTACGCCCAGAGTAGAGGGTCACTGAGTACTACTTGCTGCCAGTACGTCATTCGCACGAGTGTCTGGATTGGTCAGCCTTGCGGGACTCCTGGTCACACAGAGTCCCGCTGCTTCGCCCGTTTGAGCGACGCATGGCGTACAGTGTTTGGCGACGACGCTGAGCTCCCCTCCTGGCTGGAGCTACTTAGGCAGAGGGTAGAAATCTTTGCTCTAGACTATGATGCTCTTCTCACTGCAATGTATGCATTGTCTAGTAGTGCTGAGGGTGCCTGTCACCTATGTGTGCCGCCTGACCCAGGTATCCAGTCTGCTGCTCTGGGTGCTGGTGAGGCTACTGCTCTAGGTGCTAGTGCGTCTCCTGCTCCAGGTGCAGGTAAGGCTGCTGCTCTAGGTGCTCGTGCGTCTCCTGCTCCAGGTGCTGGTGAGGCTGCTGCTCTAGGTGCTAGTGAGTCTCCTGCTCCAAGTGCTGGCGAGTCTGCTCTCTCTGGTGCTACGCCTCCTGCGGTCGTACACACCTTCACCCTTGACTCGTGTCCATGCTGCTTGCCCCTAAGGGAGACCCGGATGCACCAGACATCCCGACTCCGCGCTCTTACGCGGAGGCGATAGAGGGTCCCTACTCCTCTCAATCGGAGGCAGCCATGGATGCAGAGATGGCTTCCTGGAAATCCACAAGCACCTACGTCGACGAAATTCCCCCTCCTGGGGTGAACATCGTCAGTGGCATGTGGATTTTCAGGGTGAAGCGGCCACCGGGTTCTTCGCCTGTCTTCAAGGCGCGTTACGTGGCTCGTGGCTTCAGTCAGCGGCAGGGAGTTGACTACTTTCAGACCTTCTCTCCCACCCCGAAGATGACCACTCTTTGGGTACTGCTGCACATAGCCGCTCACCGTGACTACGAGCTACACTCTCTTGACTTCAGCACTGCTTTCCTGCAGAGCAGCCTGCACGAGGAGATCTGGCTGCACCGCCCACCTGGCTTCACTGGGACTTTTCCTCTTGGCACCCAGTGGAGCCTCCAGCGGCCAGTCTACGGTCTCCGCCAAGCACCGCGTGAGTGGCACGACACACTCAGGACTACACTTGCGGCTCTTGGGTTTGCTCCTTCTACTGCCGACCCGTCGCTGTTTCTGCGCACCGCCACTTCTCTGCCGCCATTCTACATCCTCGTGTACGTCGACGACTTGATCTTTGCCACAGCTGACACTGCTTGACTCGCCCACGTGAAGTCCGAGTTGCAGAAGAGACACACGTGCACTGACCTGGGTGAACTGCACAGCTACCTTGGCTTGCAGATCACCCGGGACAGAGCACGCCGCACCATTACCCTGACTCAGTCACACATGGTGCAGCAGGTTCTTCAGCGCTTCGGCTTCACGTACTCCTTGCCTCAGGCCACTCCTCTGCCTACTCGTCACTCCCTCTCAGCTCTGCCTTCGGATGAGTCCGTAGAGTCGAGTGGCCCGTACCCAGAGCTTGTTGGCTGCCTCATGTACCTGATGACCTGCACTCGACCTGACCTTGCATACCCTCTTAGCATTCTGGCACGCTATGTTGCTCCTGGGAGACACAGACGTAAGCACATGGCTGCAGCGAAGAGGGTGTTGCGCTACTTGTGCAGTACGTCAGGCATGGGGCTTGTGCTTGGAGAACGGAGTCCAGTGGTCCTCACTGGTCACGCAGACGCTTCTTGGGCTGACGACCAGGCTACACAGCGGTCGTCACAGGGTTACACCTTCAGCCTTGGTTCCGGCTCTGTTTCGTGGCGGTCTACCCGCTCGTCTTCTGTTCTCGGCTCCAGTTGTGAGGCTGAGATCTACGCAGGGGCCATGGCTGCACAGGAGCTACGCTGGCTCACCTACCTGCTGACTGACCTAGGAGAGCCGCCTCGTTCTCCTCCAGTTCTGTACGTAGACAACAAGTCTATGATGGCCTTGTGTCGGGAGCAGAGACTGGAGCACAGAACGAAGCACATCGCTCTTCGCTACTTCCTTGCTCGTGAGCTTCAGCAGCGCGGTCAGCTGCGCCTTGCTTACGTGGCCTCTTAGGCCAACACTGCTGATATCTTCACCAAGGCACTTGCGCCTTGTGACCATCAGCGCTTCTGTACTCGGTTAGGTCTTGTACCTACCTTGCCTCACTTGCTCACTTCTTGACCTTGCTTGTACTGTTACATATATATATACCTGCTCTTGCTTGTTTAGCGTTATATATATGTGTGTACTCATGCATGTGAACTGGCCTTGTGGCCTTGAACTTGTGCTCAGAATGTGTGGTGACGTTGTGATCCACCCTGAGCTTGCTTTGCCTTGCTTTGCTTGACTGGTCTTGTGACCCCTTGTTCTCCCCCACTTTGCCAAAGGGGGTGTGTCAAACTTATATGATCTAGACTGTGTAGGCTGTAGTGGGTTAGATACTAAGGGGTACACAATTCTAGGGTTTCATATTTTGTATCACTTTCATTCCTTAGTTCATCCATTCTCGTTCTTATTCTCACACTGCCTCCCTGTTCGCACTGTCAATCGTGTTCATCGTCCTCGTCCTCCACCTGTTCCTGGCACGCACACTACGGCACCTCGTCCTTCCTCTATTCCCCAGCGCGTTGCCCTGCCGTCTCCTTCGACGTCCTCTCTTCCTGACGTTCCTGTCCGTGAGTCCGACCTTACTCGTGCTGCTAGTCCTGCTGTCACTCGTCTTTTCGCCACTTTTGTCACTGACCCTTCCTTTGAGTATACTGCTGCGTCTGCACTACTCACAGAGCTAGTCGACATTACTGCTATTACTAGCTTGGGTTTTATAATCATGCATAGATATGCTTGATTTCCTAGGTTAGGTGCATTCCTATATGCTATTTTAGTTCCAGCACGGAAACCAGGTTACCAAACTCAAGCCTATTCGGTTTCCACCGAAATGCTTTCTACCGAGTTCGGGAAAGTTCTGTTCAGGATGCTTCGCGACCCTCAGAACATTCGCATAACACCTGGGTTACCTGCGTTGTGTCGAGCCTATATATAGCCTCGTGTTGTACCCAGGTGAATCATCAATTCAAACTCTCTTTCTTGAGCTCGATCCTAGATCCTACACTTGGTAATCACAGCTTGTTTGCACGCGAAGTTTTCGACCGCAAAAACTAGCTTTTAAAACCGTGGGGGCGACGATGGAAAGCGCCGATTTCGGGTACGTAAACCAGTTCTGCGCTATTTTTTTAACATCCCCCTCGAACCGGTTTTTGAACACTCCTCAGGTCCAAAGGCGAAACTTGGAACTTCGACAGTAAGATCGATTCGAATCTCAACGACCCTGAGAATTTTGCCCAAAAAAAAAAAGGAATTAGGAGCGTCGGATCAAATTTCTTCTCAACGGTCGAGATCAAATGCGAGTTTCGACTAATGGAGAATTACGCGACCTACAGAATCAGCGCTCGTCATTTCTACTGTCGATTTGACTCAAAGTAAGTCGACCAGCGCCTAGAATTTAATTATTTTCATCATAAATCTTCGTGTAAATCGCAAAAATGGTGATAATTCCGTACAGAAAAGTACGGAGCTACACACCGGCCAGGACCAGATGCGAGCTGCACTCCAGCGAATAGAGGAGCTTCTCGCGAACCAGTCGGTAGCCACCACGGCAGCAACAAACGCAGCAGCAAATGCAGCAGCAACGGCAGCAGCAGCAGCGGCGATACCAATATTTTACCCAGCAGCAGCGGCAACAGCTTTAGTGAATCTTGAGGTGGCACGTGCGAGGCTACTGGAGACGTTCAATTCGAATGCGAGAGACACCGATGTCCGTCGATTCATTGCGGCCCTCGAAATTTACTTCGAGGCCGTTGGCTGTACGACCCCGACACACGATGCAATGCAGATTTGGCTCGCAACGACATTGTTGCGAGGCCCGTCGCTCGAGTGGATTTACATCAGCAATGAGATCCGAGGCGAGGGGTCATGGACGCAGTTTCGAGCAGCGTTATTTCAATGTTTCGAACCGATTAATTCCTGCTACATGGTGCGGCACCTGATTCATCAGCACAAACAGTACGGCTGTGTAATACAGTACACGCAGCAGATGGCGAGCCTCTTCAACCGAATTGCCGACCTGACCGAAGGGGAAAAAATCCAAGCGTATACTGAGGGGCTAAAAATGGAATTCCATCGACAAGTGATTGTTCCGAACTACAGTTGTGAGGATCTAGGATAGAGCTCAGAAAAGATGATTCGAATTGAATTGAATCGAATTGAATGAATCACCTAGGTACAACACGAGGCTATATATAAGCTCGACACAAGGCCCTGTAACCAGGTGTTACGCGAAGGTTCCGCGGGTCGCGAAGCGTCCCGAACAGATCCTTCCCGAATTCGGTAGGAGGCAATTCGGTGGCAACCGAAAAGCCAGAATTCGGTGCACGCAACCTACCTCGGTGCTATAACTATAATAAAATATAGGAAAGCACCTAGCCTAGGAAATCAAGCAATTCATGCATGCATATAATAAACCTAAGCTAGGAATAGCATAATAAAGTAAGGCAAGCAAGCATAGCTAGCATAAGCCGTTGTACTCTCACACGTCCCCCCCTCAAAGCTGGGTGGCGTGAGAGACACCCTACTTGACAAGATAGTCCTTGAGAGCACGGCGTGAGTTGCCCATATCAGCTTCTGCAACCCAACTATCCTCAGTGGGGTCGTATCCCTTCCAGCGTATCCAGGCCCTCGAGGGTCTTGCCGTTGCGGCGCCGATGAGTGAGAACGCGCTCGATCTCGTACTCGGGTTCATCCTGTACGAGAACAGGAGGTGGTGGCGGTAGTTGCCGTCCCTGGAACTGTTGGTTGGGGTCCTCATAGGGTTTCAGTAGCTGGACATGGAAAGCATTGTACGAGTACTAGAACGAGAATGATTGAACTATGGAACAATTGGGTACAAGTACTAGCCCTAATTGGGTTGTACCCCTTATGGGCTACCCCACTAGAGCCTATACAAATGTATAAGCTATAATGTTCTAACACACCCCCATAGGCAAAGTGGGGGAGAACAAGGGGTCACAAGACCAGTCAAGCAAAGCAAAGCAAGCTCAGGGTGGATCACAAAGTCACCACACATTCCGAGCACAAGTTCAAGGCCACAAGGCCAGTTCACATGCAGGAGTACATATATATATAAAAGGCTAGACAAGCAAGAGCAGGTGTATATATATATATATGTAATAGTACAAGCAAGGTCAAGAGGTGAGCAAGTGAGGCAAGGCAAGCACAAGACCCAGCTAAGTACAGAAGCGCTGATGATCACAAGGCGCAAGCGCCTTGGTGAAGATATCAGCAGTGTTGGCCTCATAGGCCACATACGCAAGGCGCACCTGACCACGCTGCTGCAGCTCACGAGCAAGGAAGTAGCGGAGAGCAATGTGCTTCGTTCTGTGCTCCAGTCGCTGCTCCGACACAAGGCCAGCATGGCCTTGTTGTCTACGTATAGCACTGGAGGAGAACGAGGCGGCTCTCCAAGGTCAGTCAGCAGGTAGGTGAGCTAGCGAAGCTCTTGTGCAGCCATGGCTCCTGCGTAGATCTCAGCCTCACAACAGGAGCCGAGAACAGAAGACGAGCAAGTAGCCCGCCACGAAACAGAGCCGGAACTAAGGCTGAAGGTGTGACCCTGTGACGACCGCTGCGTAGCCTGGTCGTCAGCACAAGAAGCGTCTGCGTGCCCAGTGAGGACCACTGGACTCTGCCCTCCAAGGACAAGCCCCATGCCCGACGTACTGCACAAGTAGCGCAACACCCTCTTCGCTGCAGCCATGTGCTCTGGTCTGTGTCTCCTAGGAGCAACATAGCGTGCCAGAATGCTAAGAGGGTATGCAAGGTCAGGTCATGTGCAGGTCATCAAGTACATGAGGCAGCCAACAAGCTCTGGGTACGGGCCACTCGACTCTACGGACTCATCCGAAGGCAGAGCTGAGAGCGAGTGGCGAGTAGGCAGAGGAGTGGCCTGAGGCGAGGAGTACGTGAAGCCGAAGCGCTGAAGAACCTGCTGCACCATGTGTGACTGAGTCAAGGTAATGGTGCGGCGTGCTCTGTCCCGGGTGATCTGCAAGCCAAGGTAGCTGCGCAGTTCACCCAGGTCAGTGCACGTGTGTCTCTTCTGCAGCTCGGACTTCACGTGGGCGAGTCAAGCAGTGTCAGCTGTGGCAAAGACCAAGTCGTCGACGTACACGAGGATGTAGAATGGCGGCAGAGAAGTGGCGGTGCGCAGAAACAGCGACGGGTCGGCAGTAGAAGGAGCAAACCCAAGAGCCGCAAGTGTAGTCCTCAGTGTGTCGTGCCACTCACGCGGTGCCTGGCGGAGACCGTAGACTGGCCGCCGGAGGCTCCACTGGGTGCCAAGAGGAAAAGTCCCAGTGAAGCCAGGTGGGCGGCGTAGCCAGATCTCCTCGTGCAGGCTGCTCTGCAGGAAATAAGTGCTGAAGTCAAGAGAGTGTAGCTCGTAGTCACGGTGAGCAGCTATGTGCAGCAGTACCCGAAGAGTGGTCATCTTCGGGGTGGGAGAGAAGGTCTGAAAGTAGTCAACTCCCTGCCGCTGACTGAAGCCACGAGCCACGTAACGCGCCTTGAAGACAGGCGGAGAACCCGGCAGCCGCTTCACCCTGAAAATCCACATGCCACTGACGATGTTCGCCCCAGGCGGGGGAACAGCGTCAACGTAGGTGCGTGTGGACTTCCAGGAAGCCATCTCTGCGTCCATAGCTGCCTGCCACTGAGAGGAGAAGGGACCCTCTATCGCCTCCGCGTAAGAGCGCGGAGTCGGGATGTCAAGTGCATCCGGGTCTCCCTCAGGGGTAAGCAGTACGGACACGAGATGAGGTGAAGCAGCGGCCAAGCACTGGAACTCCTCCTGCCTGTCCTCAAGGACGTCCGTGCCAAGGGCACACTCACCCCGACGGACGGAGGACAGACAGACTCAGACTCAGCAACAAGACTGGCGGCGTAGTCTAGGCGACAGCGAGCAGCAAAGTCGACGAGCTCAGCAACTAGGGCAGACGCAGCAGTGGACTCAAAGGAAGGGTCAGTGACAACAGTAGCAAGGAGACGCGTGACAGTAGGGCTGGCAGCACGAAGAGAGTCCGACTCCGGGTCGGCAAGTGCAGGAAGAGAAGACTCAGGAGGAGAAGGTAAAGGGGCACGCAGAGGAGAAGTGGACGGATGCAGAGACATCCGGTGCGTGCCAGGGATAGGAGGAGGACGCTGACGCGAACCGCGACCACTAGTGCGAGCAACACGGACACGCAACGCAGGGCGAGACGCAGGCTCACGACGCTCAGCAAGACCTCCATAAGGACCAGTGTAGGGAGAAAAAGCAAGCAGTTGAGAGGCCGGGTGTCACTGAAACTGTGACGGGACAGGCTCTGGACACTCTAAGGGAGGAGGAGGACTAGTAGAAGGCGGGAGACCAAGAACCTGCTGAAGAAGCGGAACGAAGTACGGTCGAGGCCGCGCGTTGACTCTAGACACAGCAGTGACAGCACCAGTACCTCCAGCGGCAGCACCAGCGCCAGCAGCACCTCCAGCTCTAGTACCTCCAGCACCACCAGTAGCACCCCCAGTAGGACCGCCTCGAGGACTGACAGCAGTAGCCTCCGTGCCAACTCCCGTAGCAGCTCCAGCTCTAGAAGTACCTGCAGGCCCAGCAGCTCCAGTACTCCCAGTATGAGCACCTCCGGGACCCGCGGCACCAGCACCCTCAGCAGCAGCAGAACCTCCAGTACCCGCAGCACCTCCAGCTCTAGCAGCTCTCCTCCAGCGCCGGGTAAACCACTCACGCAGCTCCTATGGAGAGAGTGGCTCCCGGCGAGACGAAGCACCCGGAGAACCGCCAGACGCCACACGAGCAAGCCCAACCCCCTCAGGCTCCGCACCCCCCAGGATCAACACCTCCACGCGTAGCACCCCCACGCTCAGCACCCACAGGCTCAGCACTCCCACACGTAGCACCCCCAGGCTCAGCACCCCCAGACCCAGCACCCCCAGGCTCAGCACCCCCAGTCGTAGTACCCTCGGGCTCAGCACCCCCAGGCGTAGCACCCACATGCTCAGCACCCCAAGTGTCAGCACCCCCAGGCTCAGCACCCTCAGCAGCACCAGAGTCACCAGCCACCTCAACAGGCTCAACAGCGTCTACTTGGGACACACATGAAGGGGCAAGACCCTGAGGGGGGAGGGGGTCTACCGGGGGGGGACCTGGCACAAGGAAGAGCGGTGGCGGGGGGAGGGACGGAGTGCGGTAGGGGAAGAGACGGTAGTAGGGGACCGACTCGTCAAACGTGACGTCCTGAAAGGACAGAACACGGCGAGAGGTGGGGTGGTAGAATTGCCACCCTGGTGCGTCAGGGGGGAATCCTAGGAAGACGCAAGGAGCAGCACGAGGGGACAGCTTGTCCGCAGACAAGTCGCGGACAAACGCCCGAGATCCCCAGACACGGAATGCAGACGCATCGCCAACCTTCCGCGTCCACAGCAAAGCTGGGGAGGTCTCCGGCATGGAGACCGTGGGGTGAAGGTTGATCTGATGCGCCGCGTACCGGACCGCAAACGGCCACAGAAAATGGGGAGCAGCCGCATGCATCATGGGCGTACGGGCGACGTCCATGACCATGCCAATGCGGCGCTCAGCAATCCCATTTTGCTGTGGAGAGTCGAGAAGCGTGAAGGTCTGGCGGATGCCTCGTGCACGACAGTAGGCTTGCAGAAGGCCAGAAGAGAACTTTCCGCCTCTGTCAGAGTGCAGACGCGGAACAGGAAAGTCCGAGCCGAAGCTCTGCCTGAGCTGGAGACGAGCTGCGCGGATCCAATCGATCAACACCTCAGTGACATCACCCTTGCAGCGCAAGGGGAAGACTGTGGTGTAACGCGAGTAGTCGTCAACCACCAGCACGAAGTAGCGCTCGTGACCCTGTCCACGGATGCGGGCTGAGCCCCACACGTCCATGTGAAGCGTCTGCAGCGGAGCCTCTGTCGGAGGAAACTGAGTGGAGTGAGGGGCAGCCCGCTGCCGCCCCTCAACACAGGGGACGCAGGTAGGGCCAGGCCCCGGAGGAAGGGGAGGGAGGGACCGGGGAAGACCAGAGATAAGGACACGGGAGGCCATGCTTTGGAGACGAAGCAGCGAGGGGTGACCAAGGCGGTGGTGCCAGAGGAGAGTCTCGTGAGACAGGAGGCGACACGAGCAGGGGGCAGACTCAGGACCAGACCTGGACGCTGCAGCAAACACCTGACTCGACGCAGCTACCTGACCAGACGCAGTGACTGGAGGAGACGCAGTGGTCAATGTGTACAGGCTTGACCCCGGCCGACGTGTAAACGTGGCCAAGTGTCGGCCTGTCCGAGCGTCCGTGCAGTGGGTCACCCGCTGACTCGCGGGAGTGAACTGGTGAACCCCCGCATCCTGTAGGTCAGCACCACTCACCAATTTCGTAGAGAACGAGGGGAGGTAAAGACCTGACAGGGTGCCAGAGGGGGCCGCCGGACACGGGAGGACAGTGGAGAAGTGAGCAAGGACAGGATCCCCAGAGGGGTCTGCCAGAGAGACTGCAACTGGCCGACCAAGCGGCGTGAGTGTGGTGCGGTCTCGAAAGAAGGAGCGAGAAGCCCCGAGTCAAGTGTGAAGATGTGGGAGGCCGAAGCCGACGCAAGTACCTGAGAGCGCATACTCACCAGCACCTAGAGCAGCAGCCTCGCTAGCACCTAGAGCAGTAGCCTCACCAGCACCTTGAGCAGTAGTCTCAATGCTCGGGTCGGGCGGAAAACACCGGTAACAGTCACCCTCATCACTAACAGTCACAGCATACATGACAGCAAGAATAGCATCAAAGTCAAGGTCAAAGACAGCTACTCCCGCCCTAGATAGCTCGCCCCAGCGAGGGATCTCAGTGGCCTCAGGGAACTGGTGACGCCAAGCGTCCGTCAGGCGGCCAAAGCAGCGCTGGGTGGAGTGCGCACCCCCGCACTGATCACCTGCGCGGTCGTCGGTGCGTAGGACGTAGGTGCACGGACCAGTACCCCCACCCCGCTGGCGTGCAGCGTACCACTCACGGAGCTGCTGAGGGGGGGGGATGTCACGCGTGCGGTGCTGCTGCTGCTGATGCTGGCGTTGACCACCACTGGAGCCGACCCTCTGTGCAGCGCCACCCCGACCAGGTCCACATCCTCTGCTGCCGCCTCCTCCACCTCCGCCACCTCCGCCACCTCCGCTCCCACCGCCACCGCCGCCGCCGCCTCCGCCTCCACTGCCGCCACCAACACCTCCACCCCCGCCACCACTCCCACCACCACCCCCACCCCCTCCACAGCCTCCACCGCCACCTCCGCCACCCCCGCCAGCCCCTCCAGCGCCCTTGCCCCCCTTGCCCTTGCCTGTGTGGCGTCTCCCGCTCAGGGCAGACGCAGCACGGACCGACTCGAAACCAACGAGGTCGACCGCAGCAGCAGAGGCAACAGAGGGCAGGAGGGGGGAGGGGGAACACCCCTCAAATACGGGGGTGCGAGGGTCACCACGAGAGGCTCCTACAGCGACTCTGATCTTCTCTGCTGCTAGGAGGGCCTTCTCGAGGAGGTCAACGGTGAGAGTGGTGGGGCAAACTGAGAGGAAGTGGTCCCTGACTACGCTCAGAGAGTCGGGGAGGCGGGTGACTATGTAGTAGAGGGTGATGTACATGGGGGGGGGGGGTTCTTGGCGCAGAACTCAGCAGGAAGCGCAGCGCGGTAGCGAGTGTCACTAGTGCGGAGGTCCGTAATGAGGTCAGCGACTGTGGGGAAGGCAGCAAGGTCAGGGAAGAGGTACTGTAGCATGAGGCGGCTCAGTGCAGCAGTGGCAGGGGAGGAGTAGCTTGCAACTACAGCGTCTTACAAGGTCTGAGCACTCTTGTACTCGCTAAAGTGCGCACGCCTAGAGGTAGGCAGGTGGCGACGCACAGCAAGACGTGCAGCAGCATCGCGTGTGGCCCACTGTGAGCAAATAGTGGCGTCAGCATCAGCAGTAGGGGCAGGAGAGGCGCCAGAGGTAAGGTCAAAGAGGGAGAGACCGTCTGCCCTATCGCACTGTAGGAAAAGCTGCAGATGATCTAGCCAGACGTCAAAGTCAATAGCCCGACCCTCAGCGTCAAAAGCGAGGACACTAGGGGTAGCCATGACTGCAGTAGACTAGCAGCGCAAACAGTAGGGTAGGGGCACTGCTGTTATAGAGGCGCTGCTCTTACCGGACATGGCGGCTTGGGCGGCTCGGCGGCTCGGCGGCTCAGCAACAACTGCGGCTCGGCGACTCGGCGGCACAAGCGGCTCGGGCGGCTCGGGCGGCTCGGCGACTCGGCAGCTCGACGGCTCCGCGTAGTGCGGCGGCTCGGGCGGCTCGGGTGGCGGACGGCTCGGCAGCAGGCGGCGGCGCCGGCGGCTCGCTGGTGACGGCGGAGCCGCGTGGGGACGGCGGCGGGGCCGTCAGAGGCGGCGCAGGGGCCGCAAGGTAGGCGACGTGGCCGGGAAGGGCAGAGCCGGGGCCGCAGGTAGGCGACGGGGCCAGCAGAGGCGGGGCCGGGTCGGGAAGGGCGGCGTCAGGGCCGAGATGGGCGGCGCCGGGGCCGCGGGGTAGGCGACAGAGCCGCAGGGCGGCAGATCGGGGCTGGGAAGGGCGGCGCCAGGGCCGCGGGGTAGGCGACGGGGTCGGAGGGCGGCGGATCGGGGCCGGGAAGGGCGGCGCCGGGGCCGCGGGGTAGGCGACGAAGCCGCTAGGGCGGCGGATCGGGCCGGGAAGGGCGGCGCCGGGGCCGCAGAGGTAGGCGACGGGGCCGCTAGGGCGGCGGATCGGGGCCGCAAGGGCGGCGCGACGCAGCCGCTAGGGCGGCGCGACGGGATCGAGAGAGGGGAGCGCGACTCGGGCAAGGGGTGAGCGCGCTCCGGGCAGGAAAAAAAAATCGAATCGGTGGGCCCTAGGAACAGTTCCCACGAGGGAACCTGCTCGATACCATGAGAAAACTAGAACGAGAATGATTGAACTATGAAACAGTTGGGTACAAGTACTAACCCTAATTGGGTTGTACCCCTTATGGGCTACCCCACTACAGCCTACACAAATGTATAAGCTATACTGTTCTGACACGTATCCCTTCCAGCGTATCAAGACCCTCGAGGGTCTTACCGTTGCGGCGCCGATGTGTGAGAACGCGCTCGATCTCGTACTCGGGTTCATCCTGTATGAGAACAGGAGGTGGTGGCGGTAGTTGCCGTCCCTGGAACTGTTGGTTGGGGTCCTTGTAGGGTTTCAGTAGCTGGACATGGAAAGCATTGTGAAGCTTCCATTTTTCTGGTAAGCGCAAGCGGAGTGTTACTGGTGTCACCTGTGCCTCAACGAGAAAAGGACCACAGAAGCGAGGCCGGAGTTTGGATGGGAGGTGAGACAGGTTCAAGTTGCGCGTGTCAAGAAGCACTTGATCTCTGACTGCTACTGAGTGATCTCGTCGCTGACGATCGGCATACTGCTTCTAGGAGTTCTGCATCGTGGTGAGATGTCGCTGAGTCTTCTCCCATAGCTGCTGCATGGTGGTGACGAAGTCATGTGCGACGTGGACGTGTGCCGGTGTGGTTGGCTGCTGTGGTGTGAGTGGTTCCTGTCCGTAGCACAGGAAGAAAAGAGATTCCCCTGTGGCCGCGTGTGAAGCGTTGTTGTAAGCGAACTCAAGGGTCGGTAACTGTATGTCCCAGTGGCTGATGTCGTCTGTGCAAGCTGTGCACAGTAACTGTTTAACCACTTGATTGAGTCGCTCGGTCTGTCCGTCAGTTTGGGGGTGGTATGCTGAAGACATTGCAAGCTCAATCCCCAACAATCCCATGAGTTCCTTCCAGAACTTACTAGTGAATTTTGGGTCTCTGTCTGAGATGAGTGTAGCGGGGATGCCATGGATGGTGATGATGCGGTCGAAGAAGAGGCGAGCAGTTGGTTCAGCTGTAGCCGTAGCGTTGGTCGGGATGAAGTATCCCATTTTAGAGAACTTGTCGATCACCACGAGTATAGCGTCATGCCCTCGTGAGGTCGAAGGTAGCCCAGTGATGAAGTCTAGGCTGACGACCTGCCATGGCTGCTCCGGTACAGGTAGAGGCTGAAGTAACCCTGCTTTTTTTCTGCTTGCTACTCTTCATCCGCTGGTACGTGTCGCAAGAGGTGACGAACTGCTGCACGTCTGCTGCCATCCCAGGCCAGTAGTAATACTTCGCGATCCCTGCTAACGTCCTTGTTGCTCCCGAAATGTCCCGCGTAAGGTACATCGTGAAATTCCTCCAATAGGATCTGCCGTAGCGGGCGTAATTCGGTACCCAAATCTTTCCTTAACCCTTCCTTACAGCTAAATCCTTCTTCCATTGTAACAGCTTTTACTGAGGTAGGCGATGGGCTGCAAACTACATTCGTGATGCTGCATCAGTACTTCTCCAACTGCTTGGTCACTAGCGTCTGCTTCCACCATGTAGTCTCTGTCTGGATCTGGTAGGATGAGTACTGGCGCTGTAGTCAGTGCTGTCTGTTTGTTCAGTGCGCGGTAGTCGATGCACATCCGTAAGCTACCGTCTGGTTTTGGAGTGAGGAGAACTGGTGCACCGTAGGGAGAGGTGGATGGGCGGATCAGTTGTCTGTCCAGTAGATACTCTATCTGTTTTTTCATGTCTGTCAGTTCGGTCGGACTCAGTCGGTATGGTGCTTGTGAGACGGGTTTCGCACATCCGTAGATGGTATCGCTTATAGGATCGTAGGGTACGTCGAATATGTTATCCCTAGGTCCTGCGCTCGAAGATGCAGCTTCGGTATCAGTTTTCAACTGAGAAAGGTTAGAAGGATTTATCTAAGGCCGATTCGGCTTCTCTTGGGCCTGGAACCTTCCACTAAGCCTTTGCAGCTGTGTAGGCTTCATTTGTGGGGAACAGGGAGCCTTTAAACAGTGCTGCTGGGAGAGAATATTAACTCCTCGGAACGCTCGACCCGTATTAGCGCTCTGGAGTAGGGTCCCCATAATACCCGGTACCGGTTTAATTTCTGACTCTCCCTTAATAAAGGCTTGAAACCCACGAGAAGTAATATTCTTACTTGTCGCGGTATACGGTTGGAGTTTCCCGGTCGGTGCAAGGTCTTGTTTCGCGGATCCTCCATTAGTCTCGGGGATTTCCCCTGGTGCCGGCTGGTCGTGACGTTTTAAATTTGCGCCACCATATTCTCCTTTTTTTGCCCTCTCCGAAGTTGCCACGTTGTCCGTTTTCTGCTTCGGGGGTGCCGCACTGTTCTTGTCCTTCAGCTCCGCACACTTCTCTTCATTTTCCAACACGCCAAGATATGATGTCCTGTAGCGTCGCAAAATTTGCACGTCTCATTATTTGCTAGCCGCTGCTCCACATCGCCCTCGTCGTTCTCCATCGGGTCGGCAGTCGTGGGTGGTGCCAATCGCCCCATGCCACTAGTTGGCTTGTTGCGTCGTGTTCCGTAGTAGCTACTGTTCAACGTGTCCAACTGTTCGATCAGTGCTGCTGGAAACTGCGCCCACGTCTCCTCGCCTTGGACTATTCTGTTGTTGATCCACTCTAGAGCTGGGCCTCGTAACAGTGTTGCTGCGAGCCGTATGCGCATTGCGTCTTTTGTCGAGGGTCGTGCATCCAACGGCTTTGAAGTAAATTTGAGTTCAGCTACAAATCGACGAACGTCGTTCCTTTTACTGTAGGATCGAACGCCTCCGGTAGCCTCGGCTTCACTGCTTCGAGGTTAACTGTAGCTACTGCTGTTGTCGCATGTAGAACTGTCGGTGTTGCCGCTGCTACTGCTGCTACTGATGTCGCTGCTGCTGTGGCGGTTGCCGACTGGTTCGCAAGGAGTTTTTTGAGTCGTGGGAGCGCCGCATGTATTTGCTTATCCTCAGTACGTAACTCCGCGATTTTCTGTACTGAAATATCTCCTTTTCCCTCCATTTGGCGATTTACAGAAAGATGCGCGACGAAAATAATCGAATTCTGGTGCTAGTCAACCTACTACGAGTCAAGTTGACTGTAGAATCGACGAGCGCAAATTTTGTAGGTCGCGTAAATCTCCCTTGGGCGAAATTTGCGTCCGATCTTGGCCGTTGAGGAGAAAATAAATCCGACGCTACAAATTCCAACTTTTTTGGGCGAAATTCTCTGGGGCCGTTGAGATGAAACTCGATCGAATAATCGAAACTCCAACCCTTCCACCAGTAAATCTGAGGGGTGTTCGAAAACCGAATCGAGGGGGACTTAGAAAAATTGCGCGGAACTGGTTTTACATACCCGTATCGGCGCTTTCGTCGTCGCCCCGCGGTTTTTTTTTAAGGCCGGAACTAAGCGGTTGAAGACCTCACGTGAAAACCCGCTCTGATTACCAAGTGTGAGGATCTAGGATCGAGCTCAGAAAAGATGATTCGAATTGAATTGAATCGAATTGAATGAATCACCTGGGTACAACACGAGGCTATATATAAGCTCGACACAAGGCCCTGTAACCAGGTGTTACGCGAAGGTTCCGCGGGTCGCGAAGCGTCCCGAACAGATCCTTCCCGAATTCGGTAGGAGGCAATTCGGTGGCAACCGTAAAGCCAAAATTCGGTGCACGCAACCTAGCTCGGTGCTATAACTATAATAAAATATAGAAAATCACCTAGCCTAGGAAATCATGTGATAATGAACGAAAATGAATGCACTATGAAAGAGTTGGGTACAAGTACTAACCCTAATTGGGTTGTACCCCTTATGGGCTACCCCACTATAGCCTACACAAAAGCATAAGCTATGATGTTCGAACACACCCCCATAGATAAAGTGGGGGAGAACAAGGGGTCACAAGACCAGTCAAGCAAAGCAAAGCAAGCTCAGGGTGGATCACAAAGTCACCACCACATTCCGAGCACAAGTTCAAGGCCACAAGGCCAGTTCAACATGCAGGAGTACATATATATAAAAGGCTAGACAAGCAGAGCAGGTGTATATACATATGTAACAGTACCAAGCAAGGTCAAGAGGTGACCAAGTGAGGCAAGGCAGATACAAGACCCAGCTGAGTACAGAAGCGCTGATGATCACAAGGCTCAAGCGCCTTGGTGAAGATATCAGCAGTGTTGGCCTCAGAGGCCACGTACGCAAGACGCAGCTGA